TCAGCTATTATGATACTTTAACATTTTCTGATTAAAGTTATGATTGGAAGTGGTAATTTTTCTTCTAATAACATAAGATATCATATAATTGAAACAACTTTATATTGGCGATTCCTTTCCAGTCAAGGGATAAGTGAATCAGAATGATGAACGTTACTTGTAAAATAGACACTTCTATAAGTGTCAATGAGTGTGACAAGAGAAAAAATATCTGTCTTTCCAGTGAATGTAAATGCGTACATATATATATATAAATGATACGAGAAATTGAATAAGTTGAAAAAAACGAGAGTTAAGAGATGGGGATAAGATTGGGTATCTGTAGTCTGTAGTACATTGTATCATGTTCCCGAAGATAAAATCAGGTAAAACATGGTAAAACCTGCGTCCTAGCTGTCTTAAAAAACGCTTTTCAGAGGTGTTTTCTTATCAATCAATAGATTTTTATTTTAACACGAACGTGTCTGAGCTGTTAGAAAAAAGGGGAACTTAAATGAATGTAACACCTATGTAAGGAAAAGATTAGGAAAAACAAGAAGTAATTGTTACACATAAAGAGGAAAAAATGTTTGATAGAGTGTTACATATTCTAAATATCGTTGTAAAAACTACATATTTAAATACAGTCTAAGCCTTCGCCTAAATGCTCCTTTGGTAAACTGCGATATCACGGATCGTGGCAACAGGTTCCATCGATACATGTGCGGGGAAGAAAAGAGTGTTTAATCTAAATTAGCTTTAGGGATGGTTCACTGGCACCGATTATTCAGCCTATCCGCCTCGTCGACTCTCACGGCAAAGTTGCGACGTGAGTCACGGAAAAAAGTGTCGCGTCGCGACTTTTTAAAACTCAGCTAGATTGTCCTGCAATAGCCGCAATTACTGTCGGCATGAGTCGCGTCGCGAATTAGCAATATGATAGTGATTGCGCTAAGAAAAACTATACTGAATTCTTAGGAATGGAATCGATGCAGATTTAGAGTCCTGCCACGAAATCGCGAGTGTGTAGCGATCACACCATGACTTCGCGAGCATATAGCGATCGCGCTGTGACTATGAAATCGCGGTTGGACTCCTACAAAATATTTTTTCTAAAAAACATGAGTTTACCAAGATCACGACGTGATAACGTGACTTTATAGCGATCGCGACGCGACAGCCATGAGTTTATAGTGATCGCGATCGTGACATCGCGATCGCGTCGCGACTTAGGCGTGATCGTCGACCCGGGCGACATTCTGCTAGTTAAAGATGTGATCATGTTAAATCTTGAAAGAGCGCTTTTTCCTATTATAATTTTATGAAAATATAACAAACGAAAATATTTTCGTCTTTCACTTAAGTCAGGAAAATTTAATTTCTTTATTCGTGATGAAGTGATCGTTTCATAGTCATTACAAATTATTCCTAACATTGGTTCTCTTTGATGTAAACGAGATTTTTTGCGCTGATAACGGCAAGACTTGATTACATTATGTTCTCGAAGAAAAGTCCGAGTAAAATATGATGTAAACAGGGTCGTAAAACCGCTGTAAACTCCGAGAAATATGATGCATGACTTTCTGATAGTATGCATCTGAATTCTCTGAGATATCTGTGTATTTCTAATCAGTTATTCCATACAAAAAATCAGCTAATGGATCCTTATCTTTCATGTTTGGCACCATTTCTATGGTCAGCGCACATGAATTTTTAATTAGCGTAGGAAGCGCTTTCTTTCATCCGTTTTCGCTTATTCTACGCGCTGAATTCAAAAGTTGTTTTCATACGGCGTCGACTCTTTGCTCGCTAATTTAAACTTGGCGCCTAGAATTTAACTAGCTTGATTTCAGCTTTAAATTTGCACAAATTAGAGTAAAAACATGAGTTGTAATTAAAAATAAACAAACACACAGTGTATGATTCATTTTCCTTCCTTACCTCTCATTGGTCACATTGTTCACGCATAGAAACTATAGATTAAATTTGCCTTGAAAAACACACCTAGAAAATAGCGCCATTTCAAAACTGAATTTGAATCGAATAAAAGTTTGCTGCCCAACGTTTTAGACATCCCTTGTTCTAATGCACTACTGGGTTTTGCTTAAAATCCCCCGTATAAAAACATGATTCAGCGCTAATGCCCATATATTTTAAGAGGAAATTCTTTTTTCAATGCATGCATCTTAACAAAAAAATTCATAGTTCGATGAAATCCTTTTTTCCATGTGGCTGGTGATTCATAATTACGCTTACGGTGTTCCTCAGTTTGAAAGGATAAGTATTCGTAAGTGAGCTTTTTACGCTTTAACTGCACCTTAGTTTTTTTCTTTTCATAACCTAATTTTAATTTTTTTCGAATATGTCCAAAAAATCTATAAAGGTTTCCGTCGATGTATCACAACACGAGTCCTTGCAAAATTACAGGGCTATGACGGACATTCAGGCAAGGGTTTTGAATGCTTTAAAAGCGAATAAACAAACTGCAGGTCAAGGAGTTGTTGTGAAAGCTTGTCAAAATGCTGTTTCACTCTTGGTTTCAAGGGGAAAACTTCGTCCTCCAACTCTGTTATCCGTTTATTTACCCTTCAAATTTGTTTCATCTGATAATGATGATAACAGAACAGCTTTACCTCCATCCGTTATTATTCCATTAGATTTTGCTCAAAATATAATACCTGTTGTTTCTGTTTTAGAAGAAATTAGTTTTCAGCACGAAACTTCGATTGGATTTATCGCAGAGCCGAATTTAGTCTATATGCTTCCGTTTTTCAAACATTGTTTGTCAACTACAGTGAAGGCTTTAAAAAGTCTGTGATCAGATATGTGACTTTGTTTTTTTGCAGCTGAAATATTTTGTTAACATGCGCGCATTAAAACACGAACTTAGCCTTAAAATTTGCCACATTGTACAGACAGCTAAGAAAAAAGCAGCCGGAAAAAGTATCATTGGCGTCTTAACTAAAACAGAGTGTTTCAGATTTTTTTTAAATCTGTAGTGCCACAGGCAAGGTGTAATCAGTTCAACTGATATCATGCTTTCAAATCGAAAAACAATCTTCTACTTGTTCATGCGTCATTTGAAAAGGATACACCTGATGTTATGTGCTTTCAATCGAATTCAAACTCTGTGGACGTAACATACAGTTATTCAATTGTGGCAAAGGCTTTAGAAATATATGATATGATAGGAACAGTTTCGATAGATGAAATTTTGAGTACTATTGAACTATATTTTTTGAGTTCAAAACTTTGTTTTGATGCAGCGTCACTAGTACAGTCACTAAAAGCAGATTTTTTACAGTATAGAAACTGCACTGATTCTGCTAAATATTTCATGATCCAAATTCTCTTGATAAATAATGTTTTTGTTGATTCAGCGATCAATAGCATTGACATTGGAATTACTCCAGTTTGTAGCCCATCAGATGTTGAGATGGACGCAATAATTGGTCGCTCATATCCTACGAGAGGTACGAAGCGTTCATACATTGAAGATTCTGTCGAAGAACCAGATAAAAGGAATGAAAAATGGCATTCATATATAGCTGAAACAAAACGAGAATTTCTGTACTTGAAAGACAGTCATCATATCACAGATGCAGGACTCAAAGCTATATTCAAGTTTTATACGACTCATAAAAGACTATATTCATTGGGAGAAGTTGAGAAGTTACAGAATAAAACAAATGCTAAATTTCCAGTGATTTTTAGTAAAAGTAGTGCTTATATCAAATTTGATTATGCGCTCAGAACTGCTCTTTTTGTAGCACAAAAGTACGCAGATAGTCTTGAAAAGCTAAACGAACTAACCTTTCGGTTCAACATGGATGGTACTTTAATCGGAAATAAGCACATAGCAATTTCTATAAATTGTATTGAAGGAGGACGTGACTGTCAAAAAGCAAAGAATTTGGTTTCCGTCGGTCTTCTTGAAGTACAAAAAGAAAATAGCGAATTATTAAGAAAAAGTCTTCCGCAAGAGTTCATCGATGATATACGTTAAGTGAAACGTATACGATATAAATCTAAGCTAAAAGCTACTACATTCTGAAGTATCTGATGGAGTGAAAGTTCTATAAGGGATAGTAAAAGGAACAACAAGTCGTCTCATCCATTGTCCTGGTCTACCAGGGTACTATAAGAAACAGAGCAAGTTTTATAATTGAATTATTTACTTATCTTTTTAGAGTCGACGAAAGGTTTCTTCGATTATGTGAATGTGTTATTTGGTAAGATGTTTTATGTAATTTTGAAGAAAAATCTCTTTTGCAGCTTAAATATGTAACTTCTCTTACAGATGCCAAGATCACTGCAAGGACTACGCTCATACTTTC